TGTCCTTATCAGGGCCGAACAGGACTGAGCCAGCGGCGTGGTCCCGAAAGCCAGAGCCGGTGCTCTTCTAAGAGCTGGTCTGGGACTCCGGGTACCGGCCCGACTTACCAGTGTCGGGCCAAGTAGCCTCCCCTAGCCCAGTAGTGGAGGACCGTGAGGCAGGCTAGGACTTGGCTAGGAAGTGTATCCTTAGCTAGTCGGGTGAGGGGGCCGATACCCCCTCCAGTGCTGTATGTCACATACGAGCTGTGTTAAATAAATATCCGTGTGCCTCCACCTCGGCGTCAAGTGTCTTCACCGGTACTTCACACACATTGGGGTGGAAGGGGAGTGAAGAGGACGTGAAACTTTGATGAATTTACCTCAGAATCGCGTGTTAATGCGTGCGCATATTTGTAACGGGAATTAAAAATGGCGTCCACCCCGCAGCGAAGTTGTTGCTACCCATTGCCAGGGGCAACCGCCGTGGTCCGCGCCGACCGGCAATATTAAATAAATAAATAATTAGATTGTGTAACTAAATAAAGAGCAATCGCACTAAATCGATAATCGGTCCGATTTAAAATTTAGAGACGAAAAATCGGAAATGCCTAAGTTTACCGCGGGCCGGGGGCGTGCCCACCTGCAAAATTTAATCTCGGCGAACCCCACGGTCCGATAGCTAAATCCCCCGGAAGGGAGCGTACGCAGACGGACAAACAGACAGACAGACAGACAGACAAAAAATGAATTATATAGGTTAGATAACTAGCGGTGAGTACCCGGCGTTGCCCGGGCGAAAAAGGCAGACACATGTAGTTACACACGCAAATCCATTGATACACAAAAATAGAGTTACACGCACAAATGGACTCTCACATACATACATAGACTGAACAACAACCGCCATTCGCCACTAAGTGGCGGTGACGTCACAACAACGCTTGTGCCAGGCTATGTGCACCTTGAGGCCATGTAAAGTGTCGAACGCCCGCTGGCAAGAGGTCACGGGGCAAACCCAGATGGCACAGGTCGACTGACTGAGACGACTGGCTGATGCAGCACCTGTGGCCCCTACTGTGGCAACTTTCTGTGCTTTAGAAACCCGGCGCTCCGCTCGTTGTTGCGAGCGTCGCTCCTCCGCCCTCCATTGTTGTTGGAGGGTGACTGCCTCCAACTGGCCAGTAGCGTCTTTCAGGAGCCTCCTCCACAGTGGCCGATCTTGACACGGCTGGTACCAGTCATCCGCAAGTGGACTCAGCTCCAAGTCTTCCTGTAGCACATAACTCCCATGTCTTCTCCAGCCCGTGCCGCCCCCGTTTAGCCCCCTCGATCCGGCGGAACAAAAGCTGTTTAGGCATGTGGTGGCTGGCCATGCGGGCTACATGACTCAGGCAACGCAGCCTTGCCTGCCGGATGGTCACCGATGGGACTTTGTCCACATCTTTCAAGGATTTGTGAGCTCCTCACACAATGCAGCCTGGTTAAAGCCAGGATGGATCGTAGGCAGGCCAGCCTAAATGTTTCTAACTGGCGAAGATGTTCCATTAGGGGGGTCCAAGTTTCGCAAGCGTAGAGAAGGGAGGGAATGACCGTGGCCGAGAACACCTGAAGCTTCGTACGAAGTGATAGACCAGGTAGCTTCCACACAGCGTTACGCAGCCAATGAAAAGATACTGCAGCTCGACTGATTCGGAGTGAGACCTCTGCTGTTAAACCGGAGCCGGTCATTAGCACACTGCCCAGGGAAACTCTCCACTGTCTCCACAACTGGCCCATCACCAACTGGGAGTTGTGGGGGTGGAGTGTCCGATGGTACAAAATAGCCAGGCAGATGCTTAGCTTTGGTTGGGCTGATGGTAAGGCCCCACCTGTTGGTGGCAAGCTCCAGGTTCAGCAGCAGCACCTGGAACTCCTTCTCCGAGTGAGCAGCCATTCGCAGATCATCGGCATACATAACGTGGTTGAGCAATAGGGAGCCATCCCTTGACCGCACCTGGGCATCGATCAGCCTCCCATTGTATCTGTAGCAGATGGGAATTCTTCCGGTACAGTCATTGAAGGCTTGACGAACTACGTGGTCCAATGTGGGAGGCAGAGGACATTCCTGTTGCACCCCAAGGTGTAAAGGGAATTGCTCTGACTCACGGCCACGTAGTTAAGATGCGGGGCCGCTCACCATCATGAAGGTCCTTAAGGATGGTGATGAGTGGGTTCGGGACTCGGAAAGCACGAAGAGCAACCCAGAGGCCAGGCCTACTGATGGTATCATAGGCCTTGAGCAGGTCAATAAAGCACACGCATGGACTAAGATGCACACATGGACCTAAAGACACGCAAATAAATGAAGTTACACTGACTAACATGGAGGCATGCACACACAGCGACTAACACACACGCGCATGGACTGAGACACACAAACACATCGACTTACAGACACACACATATGGACTCACACATACATAGACATGTACTTGAGATACGCATACATGGAGTTACACACACATATCGACGTACACACATACAGTGACACACACACATACATAGAGTGCCACACACATTGCCGTACACACACACACATGTCGACTGTCACACAGACATCCACTTGAGATATAGACACATGGAGTTGCACTCACATATATGGACGTACACACATACAGCGACTCACACACACACACACCGACTCGCACACAGCAATACGTGGACTAAAATACACATTGACGTAAACACACATGTACTTACACACACACATATGGACTAAGACACACACACATGAACTTACACATACATAGACTGACACACCCATACACATATGGACTATGACACACAGACGCATTGACTTACACACACACATCGAGTGACACACACACACATGTATAGACTTACACACACATGTGGACTAACACACACATATGGACTGACATACACATCGACGTACATGCACACAGATCGACTGACACACACACATGGACTAACACACACACATAAACACTTTTGACGTTGTCCGTTCGAAAAAGACACCCACATTGAGTGAAAGACACGCATGGCTCTACACGCACATACATATGGACTCAAAGACACACACATGGACTCACACACACACACATCGACGGGCACAGCAATCCCCGATGATGGCACAGCTATCAGTATCGCAGTACTATGTATAAGTAAATAGCGTGACGTGAGCGATGAAAACAATAGAAATGCATTGAAGAAATAAGCAAAAATCACAGACTGGCAGTAGACCATGGCAGCGTTATAAAAGCTACATCAAAAAAGGGGAAATTGAGCAACCCAAAAATCCAAAAAGAGTTTTGCGTACACAAACATAATTATTGAAACATGTCAACTCGTTTCATAATGGTAAACAATGAACCCGAGTAGTTATCTTCACAAAAACTGAATTATTGTAACATCTGTGAACTTGTTTTATAATGGTAAACAATGAAGCCGAGTTTTTATCTGCACACAAACATTATTATTGTAATGTTTGTCAACGTGTTGACTGTAAAACGCGTAAAAGAAAATGTTTCCCGTGAGCTGGGGCGAACGCGCATGACTTGGCAGGGTCCGCCCCCCCCACGCAATTGGCGTCACTTGGTACAGTCGATGTCATGCAATAAGTAAATAATGAATAATAGAAACGGCACAAATGTGTTAATTAAACTACTTTAAAGTTTACGGACAGGAAAACGGAATAGCCTATACCCACCACGGGGCTTAGGGCGTGCCGCCTGGCAAATTATTTCAGTGTTAAATACCATCGTCCGAGAGCCAAATCCCCCGCAAGCGCGAGCGCACGGAAACTTTTATATAAAAAAAAGAATTAAAATTAAATTATATAGTGGTATCCTTGAACTCCTTGGGAACGGCTTCTAAGTTCCACAGAGATCGGAAGAGGTCGGTCAGTTTCTCGACTAAGCGAGGCCCTCCAGCCTTGTAGATTTCTGCTGGAATGGCATCGGACCCTGGAGCTTTGCCTGATGAGAGGAGTGTTATGGCTTTGCTGGTTTCCTCAATGGATGGTAGAACAGCAAGGGACTGGTTTATTTCAACTTGAGGCAGTCTCGCAATAGTAGTAGTGTAGTGTATAGTAGTGTAGTGTATGGTAGTGTAGTGTATAGTAGAATGTATAGTGTAGTGTATCATGACATGTATAGTGTATCGTGTAATATACTGTATAGTGTACAGTGTAGTGTCGAGTGTAGAGTATAGTGGTGTATAGTAGTGTCGTGTATAGTAGTGTCGTGTATAGTGTAGTGTATAGTGTAGTGTATAGTAGTGTAGAGTATAGTAGTGTATAGTAGTGTATAGTAGTGTCGTGTATAGTAGTGTCGTGTATAGTAGTGTCGTGTATAGTGTAGTGTATAGTGTAGTGTATAGTAGTGTAGTGTATGGTAGTGTAGTGTATGGTAAAATGTACATTGTAGTGTATCGTGTAATGTACTGTAAAGTGTAGTGTATAGTAGTGTATAGTGTAGTGTATTCTCCGTATTCTTGAAGAAGCAAATTGAGTTGTCAGGCTCATACGGCGCCCAGCCGATAAGGATGTTGAGAAGTATGGGGTTCCTGCAGCAGCAGCAGCAACTGCAGTTCCCTTTGATGCTGTTAATCCTGCATAATGCACATGCATATGTAGTACTAATCACATTCCTGCATTTCCCATAAATATGCGAAATTCCTATTGATATGCAAATTCCTTCGTCAAGGCGCCCAGCTTATATATACGCTCCAAGCTTGTGTGCTGTTTCATTCAGACGCTGTCGCCTCGACGGACCTGGTTTTCACCTGAGACGGCTGCTTGCGTTGTGCCCGAAACGTCGTGAGAATAATTTTATTATGTTTTATTTTTATTATTTTATTACTTCCCTTCTACGTGACTTTACCGAAAGAACCAAGAAGATGAATCCCTGCAGTCACGAAAGCTTTAAATCAAAATTTAGTTCCTATTGTTGTTGTTGACGTGACGACGATAACAAAGCGGGTGGGGGGGGGTCTGTGCGGCCTTGGCCTGGACTCACGAGCGCCTTCAAATCCTGGACGGTCTCCGACTCGGCGTCGCTCATCGTAGCCGGAGGCGGGTGTGGTGGAGGCAGCGGACAACGCGGATGGACGGGAGAGAGAGGGAGGAGATCGCGAAGCGCTTCGACCTCGCTTCACTGAATGTGCTTTGAATGAATGAATGAACGGAGAGAATGAGTTGAAAACACAAGCCAGGGGCGTTGCACGGTGACTGTTGGATGGCGGGCGGGGGCGGTGTGGCAAAAGCAACTACGAGGCGTCGTTTGGATAAAAACACCACCAGCCCCACCCCGAAGTGCTGAATTACGAAACGCGTTTAATGGGGGTGGGGTGGGGGAAAGCCCAGCGTGCACAGCGTATATGCATTGTAAGACGCATCCACCACCACGAGGGACATTGTGCCAGGCTAGGTACACTTTTGTTCACGTTCAAGAAGACACGCACACACGCCGGATTATAAGACGCACCCCCAGCTTTTTACATTACATTTTTTTTAAGTGCGTCTTATAATCCGGAAAAAACACTGGCTTTTATCGATCTACTGCTGGATGATGACAGCCCGCTCCTTCCCAAGCCGTGCGGGTGGAGGTGGTAACGCGTGACCATACTTCACCACCCTGGTCAGCTGTGGCCGGTTGATGAAGCGGTCGGCGATGCAATCGACGTCAAGGGAGAGCATTGGGGAGAGGCTCAGTGTGGGTGTCGGCCTCGGCAGGGTAAAAGTTAAAATGTAAAAACAACGAGCCTACCTTTACCTTCACTTTTACATTACCACAATACAATCACTCTACCCTACTTTTTACCCTTCAGCAAGTAAGGTTAAAGGTAAAAAGCAACGAGCCTACCTTTACCGCTCTGCCGGCGCCGCACCCGCGATGCCCACACCACGGAGCGGCCTGGCCGACGTTGCTCTTCCCTCACCCCCACATAGAGCCTCGCAGGGAAGTCACCTGGCCTACAGGTTTTCACCCAGGAGCCCTCCTCGTGGGAAACCTCCCCAGTTTCCTGGGGCCAGGGGAATTGGCCGAGGCTTCCTCGAGGTTAAATGGCACTGCGGCGCCGTGAATTAACGTGAAATTACCCGGTCACGACAAGGCTACTCAGCCACCGCGGTTAAGACACATACAGCATGGCAAGCAGGGGGGCGGGGCCACAAACTACGGGGCGAGCTCGAACGTGCTCGGGGGTCACCAACAATAGCGCTAGCTCCCTTTGATATGTGTAATGCGAGCGTAAATGGGGTTGCTGCTGGGCTCTGGCCCAATCACACGGACCGGGGTATTGGGGGGCGTGTGGGAGTGGCCGCTGTTCACCTCGGCTCCAATAGGAAGCGAGGTAAATGGGGGTGGAGCCAGCAGGGCAGTATGGGAAGGCCGATTCTGATGATCCGAAAGGGGAGAAGTCAGGGTCACGTGGGGGAGAGGATATAAGTGGGAGCCCGGAAGAGATTGAGGTCAGTTGTTGGAGTGAAGAAGCGGGACCACGTTGGGTGGCCGCCGCACCATCAGCCACGTGGCTGATGGGGCTTCGGCACACCGTCGGCCAGCGGTGTGCGGAGCGGGGAGGAGCGGAGCGACTGACGGGAGAGCGCGCGTGGGGCGCGCGCGAGAAGGAGCTGATGGGAGAGCACGTGCGGGGCGCGTGCGAGGAGGAGCTAACGGAGGAGCGTGCGTGACACGCGAGAGGAGCGTGCGCGGCACGCGAGAGGAGACACTGGTCCCTTGTCAGGACCAGCGGGGTGTGAGGAAGAGTGGAGGAGCTGAGGAGGGAGCGCGCGAGACGACGCTGGTCCATGGAGGAGACCAGCGGGGTGCAGAGAAAGAACTTGAATAAAAGACCAACGGAGACCAGCAGTGCCTGACGGAGTCTTTTATTACATATGGAAACCGGGATGCGGATGGCGCTGAGAGCACTGATGCAAGAGATAAGGCATGGCAGGCGGGCAATCTGATTGGCCGGGAAGGCCATCGGATCAGCGACAGGTTTTTTTTTATGTAAAGAACAATAAAAGGCGAGAGAAGGGAGATATAGAGTCAGTTCGTGTTCATCTCGAGTCAGCGATTGATGCAGTCTACTCTCCGGGCACTCGAGCGTCCGTGTGACGCGTCGCAGTGCAGCCAGGACGTGCTATCCGGAACTTCGTACGAGTCGAACTGTGAGTACGAGAGAGAGGTAGAGAACCGCGTGAGAATTCCGCGGGAGAATAAGTCTGAATAGGCGGGATAGACTGGGTTTAGACCGTCGTGGAACCAGTTAGTTGCCCACTGATTCCGGCTTCGGGCTCCGGGATATGTAGTATCAGGCACGCCGGGAATAAACGACTAGTAATCCATAAACAGTTTCGCGTGGTTTCTGTGAGTGTGGGGAGAGTGCGAGGTGGCGTGGGTACGCTCGTCGTGGTGCGCATCAGTCCAACGCTCCCCCGTCCTTGCGCCTGTGTGTTGAGTGCGCACCGGCCGACGCTATTTTTAGCGTGTGCACGTGGTGAGTGACGGTAGATACGCACGGGGTTATTCACACCGCTATCGTTAGCGTGTGCACGGGGGTGAGCAGCAACGTACGGGTAGTCTCCCAATAACGTCTGAGGGAATGCACGCGGGGAATGTGTGTGAATGACCCGAGGTGGCCGAGGGCCAGCCAAGAGTTACGTCTCACAGGGGGGACGCGGAGGTAGCGAGGCCAAAGCTACGAGCAGCAGCAGCGAGGAGGGAGGAAGAGGAGGAAGGGGGAGAGGAATCGGGGGGCAGCAGCCTCAACAATCGCATCGCCACGCGCTTTTCGAGAACGCTTCTGCGCGAAGAGCCGACGCGTTAATGCCACTGGTCGAGCAATCCGAGGGAGTCGCCTGTTCGTTCTCCCGGTTGCGGCAGCCGAACCGATGAGCTGGTTTCTGAAATTACCCAAAACCCATCAATCAGGTGCGGTTGTGGTGTAAAGTGTGGGCATACTCCCATCTCTTACCGAGACGCCTGACCATGGGTGGAAGAGCAGGCCAAATACCCCGTAGAGCCAGAGGGAACTTTCAAGAGCACCCTCGACAGTGGAAGTTCTTCCTCCAGCAGTGGCGTGAACCAGCAATTGCAAGGCTGCACCTTTACCTCACTTCTATCCTGCATTTTATACCGTATACAATGAAACTGCCATTATAGTCCGGGGGAATCCTGCCTGTAATAACTCGACCCGATGTTCAATTAAAAAAAATTAACCCGTAAAAACAAAGTTTTTCACTATAAATCGTTTATATGCATGGCATCGGTTTCATTTTATTATTCATTTCTGTATTTCTTGAGTAAGCAAGCAAGCAAGTGAACTTAATATAAAGGATTTAAAAATGTAAGCAAGGGCGGTTTCTTCATTAGGGCGATTGGGCGACGCACCACCAATGTCATTGAACCACAGAGTCACGCTAGCCGTCACTGTCAGCCTCTGGATATAGTCCAATCAGCGTCATGTCACGTTCTGTGGAGTACCGCCTCTTTTTGGGCGATTTCACTCCGGCTGAGAATCGCCCCGAGTGGCCCCATAGACTTACATTCAAAGATGTTTTTTTCGAACGGCGGGCGCTCCAATGCATTCTCTATGGCTTCCGGGAGGGCAAGCCCTAACGTGCTTACGTCATCATACGTGCTAACGTCATCATACGTAAGCACGTTTCATCCAACAATATAATTTATCGCCACCTAGTGGAATCTTCTTCTTGGTTCGGTAAAGTCACGTAGAAGGGAAGTAATAAAATAATACAAATAAAACATAATAAAATTATTCTCACGACGTTTCGGCCACAACGCAAGTTATTCTCACGACGTTTCGGCCACAACGTTCCACTCACTGGCATGGTGCAGTGTGCAGAGTAATGTATGGTGTCGTAATTGTATAGTAAATATATAGCAGTGTGATACACATTAGGGTGGGTATAATAATACATAGTGTTATATTAAAATGGATAAGGCAGCAACTGCAGCAGCAGCAGCAAATGCAGCAGCAGCAGCAACTGCAGCAGCAGCAGCAGCAACTGCAGCAGCAGCAACTGCAGCAGCAACTGCAGCTCCCTTTGATGCTGTTAATCCTGCATAATGCACATGCATATGCAGTACTAATCACATTCCTGCATTTCCCATAAATATGATAAATTCTTCTTGATATGCAAATTCCTTTGTCAAGGCGCCCAGCTTATATATATGCTCCAAGCTCGTGTGCTGTTTCATTCAGACTCTGTCGCCTCGACGGACCTGGTTTTCACCTGAGGACAGCTGCTTGCGTTGTGGCCGAAACATCGTGAGAATAATTTTATTATGTTTTATTTTTATTATTTTATTACTTCCCTTCTACGTGACTTTACCGAAAGAACCAAGAAGATGAATCCCTGCAGTCACGAAAGTTTTAAATCAAAATCTAGTGGAATCTTTAATAAAATAAACTTGAGTGGTTTGTTTTAATAGTGAGTATAGAAACAAACAAGATGTATTGTAAGAGTCACTTTATTTTTCATTAATATTAAAGAAGTGAAGTTGCCTTTACATGCTTAAGCTGTTAATTTATCCATTGCATGGGTGGACCTTATCCTTATCAATCATCCAGACATTTGCCCCCCCTGAGAGATTTTGCAGGAGCCGCCACTGAATGTAAGATCACCTCTTGACATGCCCCGTATATTCCCGAGGGCACTAGCGTTGACCCGTTTTACCACTTTCAAGAACCTGGCGGCTTCAATTTAACTGCTCTATAAATAGTCTCCATTGTACAGCGTGGGGGCAGGGATTTCATGCCATGTGGTTAGTCAACATTTGCGTCATCATGAAACGGACGGCTAGAGTCCTCTCGTCCTCTGGCTTGAGATGGCTGCCACCTATGGGTCAGATGATTGTCTGCCAGTATTAAGCAATTGGTAATTAAATCTTTAATTTGTTTTCCCTAAACAGTGTAAAATTTTGTAAAAAAAATTTCACGAACATTAATTGTCTTGCACAACGAGTCTGTGTGCAAAATGTCAGCTCGATTGGATCACGGGAAGTGGGTTAAAACACGACCGAAAGATTTTCGCGGTTGTAAGCAAGCAAGCACGCAAGCACGCAAGCAAGCAAGCAAGCGAACTTAATATAAAGGATTTAAAAATTGGACTCTGTGCTCACATCTATGAGAGGTCGTGCCCCCTGGAAGCTGCCACTGATTGTTTCCCAATATTACAGCCACGTGGAGTGTGTAAATAAAGGATAAGACGATGTT